CTAACCCACGAACGCGGACCTTGTTAACCCGGGCGACGTCCGAGCCAATATCACACTTTGATCTGGTTACTACCATAATAATTATCTCCACAGAATGTGGGTGTGGTCACTCTTAGCTTCATTTCTCCCCATAGACCTTACTGGCATGGGTGTCCCTACCAGGAGCTTGTGCTCCAGCCTGCATTGCTCTATGGTTCAGTAAAATTACTGGGCTCTCCCACCATGACCAGGTGGTGACCACGGGAGAGTTATTATTATTATTATTATTAAACAATTCTTCCAGAAATTCAAAACATTTTACTACTTCTAAAATTTGTTCACCACTTTTGGTTTATATCGCTGCATTCTGATCTTCCATCTACTCGTTCTGTGCAAATCTTTGTGTTTATCTATTATAGAAAAAATTTTTGCAATAATGTTTTTTATGGAAGCATTTATACTAGTAATATATGTGTTTTTCTTCACTTTATCCATTTTGAATACATATTCACTTTATGTTTTGACATGCCTTTTTTAAAGGATGTTTGAATTTTTATATATTCTGCAATTTAATGTATTTTTCACTGGTTCCTTGAAAAATATTAAATCCACTTTCCACCATACTTGCATATATTCGTTCACTTTTCCATTTTTGCAAATAGATCGTTTTGTCATAAGCAAAGAACTTCAAAGTCTAAAACATAGTCATATTGAATACATAAATTCATAATTACAATGAAAATTTACACTTTATGGCAAAACAAATTTTGCGGTAAAGTGGTTTTGTGGTTTCAGCAACCTTTTTTCCATTTTTGATACTTGCTCAATAGCAGAGACTCCTAGGAATATAATAAAAAATATTTTTAACTTTCTTTTCTCTATAAACATTCACTAGTAAGTTTGAGAATTTCAATCATCATTTCTAATATCCAAAGGTTTTTGATGACAATACGATTTTATTAACTCCTCATTATAAAACTTTGGATATTAGAAGTGCCTATTGAAATTCTCAAACTTACTAGTGAAGGTTTATATAGAAAAAAAAATTATGGCATCCCTTCACTACATAAAAGATATTTTGTATAATTTAGTAAAAAAGTCTCTAAAAATTTTAAATTTTCCTTTAACAATTTAATACACAGTAATTATTATGATAAGATGATGTTTATTACTGATTCATTTTGTCAGTTGCTGATTTATTGTATTTTGATAGTGATAAAAATATTGCCATGTGATCAAATTTGCATTAAGTTGTAGAAACCCTGATTATTATTATTTTAACCAGGTTGACAGTAACATTTATATATTAAATTTCTGAATAATGTTCTGTTTAGTAATTAGATTAATTTTCTGAATACATTTCCAATTATATTAAAGTAGACATTTCAAACATTAAATTCAAAATTAAGATTATCTTACAGCTTAGGAACTACTTCAAATCTCATTTTTTCTAATTGCGGATCTTCTTGTAACATTGTGGTGGCAACTGGATGCATTTCATCGAAATTAAACGGAAATTGTACTCCAGCAGGTGGACTACGGAGAAAATTCCTTTTATCCTAAAAAACAAAAATATTTCAATGCTAGTAAAAATGCTTCCTTAAAATTCCAATACGTTTTCATATAAAAACATTGAATTTGTTTGTAAAATTTGAAAAATTAAAATTTTACAAATATTTTACAAATTTGATTTATTATAGAACATTAAATATTTTCTATATACAGAATTTACTATCGTATTTTCGCAGAATGACTGGTATGCCTTGTAAAACTGGGAGACTGGCATGCTGGTTAAACTGTGACTAAAATAAAATTAATTAGATGTAATAAAAGTAGTTGTTAATTAAATGTTAAAGAAAACATTCTTCTGATTATAATAAAAATAACAACATAATAATTTGATGGACTTAAAATCCGGAAGTGAATTTTCATTTACAGTGCGATAAAACAATTAACAGCTTATTGACATTAGTAGTAGTGGTGGTGGTGGTGGTGGTAGTAGTAGTAGTAGTAGTAGTAGTAGTAGTAAGTCAGTGTGGCTGCACTGACCATCTATCCCTAAGATAATTTACTGCCAGTTTCTGAAATTTAGTATGATTATTTTTGTTTTTTTAAATCAAACTGCAATAAAACAAACATAAAAAAAGCATTTTTGTCATCCCATGAGTACTTTACATAGTTAGAAGAAAGACAAAATGAAGAAATTAAACATATAAAATTGTAGTTTTTGATGTAATGCTGACAGTTTCACAGTTTTAGAATAAAAACTTGTTTGTTTTTTAATGTGCCCCCCCTAGAGAGGGACATACAGCCTCACTTAAACCAGCATGCTGGCATTCCGGTTGGCCCCAGGATAAACTGGCTTGCCTGTTTTTACCATATGGAAATATCTGATTTCATGGTCTCTCCCAAAAAGACCGGCATGTTGGTCATTCTGCAAAAAACAGTATAAAATCTATATAAAAAGCTGAGGTAGCATCAAGTAAAATCATGTTTGTTTTTGTTCGCGTGCCTGTCTGCATGCATTTAAATTAAATTTTTCGTATTTTTGATTAATTGTAATATGTAATATACAGGATGATCCAAAAGACAGTTAACCAAGGTTTTAAGATTGTTTTAAGAATGAATAACTGGTTTCAAACAGTTTATTCATAACTCAGTCACTTTATTAGAATCAAATTTTTAACAAAACTTGCAGCTGTTCCAAGCTGACTTTGCCCATTTGTAAAACAATCTTAATATATGTAACTTAAATGAATTTTGTTATTAATTTTAAATTACAAACTAACAAAACTGTAATTTACAATTTAATTTTTTCACACTTATTTTAAATAATTGATAATATTTGAAACAACAATAGAACAATAACAAATTCTGGATTAATATATAAAAATTTACCATAGAAATGGACAGTATCTGTTGTTTTACTGTTTCTTCCTCTATACATCCAATCCAAGGTGCCACACCAACTTCCTTATGATTACCTTGTTTACTACTAACAAATGCCTCTTGTTCTTTGTTGAAATCAGCTAATATACTCTGAAAATATTTTTTAAAATTAATTTTTGATATAAACAAACAACATTTTAAGTGATTACACCTAAAAATTGAACTATTCATCAGGTAAGAGTAATTTCTAGCATATTTTTCCAAATTATAATAAATATTCACAGACAAAAAGTAAATAAAATACAAAATTGGGTTTTTGGATGTTTATATTTGTGTATATCCCATAAAAAATTGGTGAAACCAGGTTAAAAAAGTAGAGCTCGGAAGAAACATCTAAATAAAGAAAAGTTTGAAAGTTGTCGCATAAGAATAGTGGTAGCAGATTTAACAGCAAGACTCAATTTGGGAATAAAGTGCACATTACACAGACTACAATTATAAGAAGTATTGGAAAAAGCAGTCATCATGATAATAAATTGGAAAATTAATCATCATCACAAAAAAAGGCCTCAAGCTTTACTTTGTCTCTCAAACTTCCTTTGCCGATACTGCTCAAACATGTTCTAATGTTCAACCAAATTAATGCAGTGCAACAACTAAGGCACCCATCACTTATAGCCTTTTAAGAAATGATAAAGACAAAGTTAAAAAAGAGACCAGGCTGGAGTATACAAAATCCTGTACAAAAACCAATTAGGTCTGGAGAAAGAATGCATAGGGGGTCACAAACACAAACCTTAGTAAACATCTTAAAGAACAAACGTATAACATTGAGTAAGGGCAGTATTGTACAACTTTGTTTAGAATGGCACAAAGCAAATGATCAGTGGGAGAATGGGAGGAAGCTAGCACTATAAAACCAGTACACTCGCCAACATTAGCAATGAATTTGGAAAAAGATTAAATTTATAGAAGCTAGCTTTTGGGCAATGTATGAACTATAAAGATGCCACAGTGTTATCCACAGCATGGAAATATATGGCTGAAAATAACTTATTGGCAAATAGTGCATAATGTTCATACAATCAACAACTGATGCTATGAATGCAATTTTTTCTTGTTTTTTATTTTGTTATCCAAACTGTGTGTATATATATATTAAATAACAAAGAATAAANTGTAACGTATTCTGTCTTATGGCATTAAAACCAAGCCACTGTTCATTGAGATTTAGCAATATAAAGAAATGTTCCCTTGCAGAATTCATGAAATAAAAAAGTTTGGTTTTAATGCCATAAGACAGAGTACATTACATCATAACATTAACTAGATTATTATTTGGCATGAGGTGCAATTAACTTTCTGATTAGATCAACAATTACAATCAGAGGTCTGTGATAAAATTTTGGTGGTCCATGGAAAAATTTGGATATTGATCAACTCAAGGTTATGCAAAGTATTAAATTAAGAAAGAATTGCAAAATGCTTGGTTGCTTTTTCTCACTCATTGGTTTTAGATTTGAATAATCCCCCAAACACAAAATGGCTTATCAATAAATAATGATGTGAATAAAATCAATAATGTGAGTGCAGTTGTTGTCCTTTGTAGAAAAGAGCCAAGAATCCATTAACTTATTTCAAACAAGCAGCAACAAATTTTACACTAATTTCTTATAATTAAACAAGTGAATTTCATTGTCCACAGGATTCACAATTGTGAGTTTAATGATCCATAAGGTCAGAAAGGTTGGCAACAACTGGATTAAATATGTACTGGCTATTTACAAAATATGGTACAACTCAATTAATTCAAAATAATATTCTTTTAGAACTTTCTTTGATTTCTCTCATTCCTGGAAAGCATAATTTACAAGTCAATTCAAATCAATAATTTTTATGATGCATTAATGAATATGTCCTACAAATAATTGGAAGTATTAGATATTTTACATTTAACTACAATTAATAATATTACAGAATATTACTGTATCATGCAAATTGTTTGTATTTTTAATCATTGACTCATAAATCACACTTTCGAGAAATGATAAATTTTTGAGAAACCAGTAAAAAAAAAATTACAAGTAGTTCTTGACTTCCAAATGTTTGAATTTTATACAAAAGTCAAGGACTACTTATTCTTTTGTACATACTACTTCATTACCTCTAACTTGCCTTTTTTTAATGCATGAAATTTGGACTTTTGTACATTTTCAGCCAATAAACGAAACTTTCAAGCTAATGTGTACTGGCATTTTCAGTCAGTTCTAGCTTCAATAACGGCAAAATCATTTGTAGAAATTATTTTTTCCATCCATTTTCTGTTTATTAATTAATCTATAGTTCTAATGTTTTAAATAACTTATGCATTATAATGTAGTCACCTATTTTGATAAAAGATTTTATACTCTAATTCTCTGAAAATGTAACATGAAATTATATTGCTCAAACTTTCAAATATTTGAATTTATTACACAGATTCTTAGGAATGTGTTATGTATGGAAGCCTGTATTTTAAACTAATTTTTCTTTGCAGAAAAAAATTATTTATCTTGTGAATTATGTTGAAAATAGCCAGTGTGTGTGCATTTCTGAATTTATTATTATTATCTTGGGTTTAGTGGATTATACTCGGTTGACACCGGTGGCTGTGTACTATGCCGGACAAGAGTCAAGGCATAGCAACCAAGAGCTAAAATTAAATAAGCGTGTCTGTGTCTGTATTCAGGAATTTCCTAACAATGTGGCACGTATTCAATATAGTGGCCTTCTGTAGTGTGATGTATGTATTTCTACTCAATTGTAATGTTCCCACGCTTATGTGTAGTGTGTGTGGTATCACACCCATACAGGAGAGAACAACAGGTACAATAAGCACCCTATCCATCCTCCACAGATGCCTATTTCCTGGGCGAATTCTGTGTACTTGCTAATTTTTTCAGTGAATGTGTTTTGTATATTGTGAGTATTTGAAATGGCTATATCTATAATATATGTGATTTTATTGTGTTTGTCAATGAGTGTGATGTTTGGTCTGTTGTGGTAAATCGTTTTATCTGTGGTTATGGCTCTGTTGTAGTGCATTTTGTGCGTGTTGTTTTCCAATACTGTCTGTGGAATGTATTTGTAGTATGGTTCATGGATGTCTTAATAATTTTCTTTCTTTGCAAGCTCTTGGTGTATTATATTTGCTACTTGATTGTGTCTGTGTAAATAATCTGTCTGTGCCAAGAGCTTGCAACCAGAAGTGATGTGTTGTATAGTTTCTGGCATGATGTGACATTTTCTGCATGTGTCATTTGTGAGTGTTGTATCTTTGAGTATGTGTTTTCTGTAGTTTTTAGTATTTATGACCTGATCCTGTATGGCAATCATGAATCCTTC